TAAACTTTTCCTGTCCAATATTCCTGAAGGAATCTGCACACCTGTAAAAGTAAGGACAGTGTTTGTTTGGAGGTCAAATTAAAGAATAATAGAACTTGTCTCTCATAAGAGAAGGTTCCTGAGAGACCTTATAATCCTTTCAGTTCCTTAAGGGGCCTACAGGATAGCTGGAGAGAGAGTTTTTAGAAGGGCTTGTAGTAGTAAGACAAGGAGGAATGGCTTTAAACTAAAAGCTGACAGGCTTAGATTGGGCATTAGGAAGAATATTTTTACTATGAGGGTGGTGAGACACTGTAACAGGTTGCCCAGGGAAGCTGTGGATACCACATCCATGACAGTGTTCAAGGACAGGTTGGATGGGACACTGAGCAACCTGCTCTTGTGGAAGGTGGCCCTGCCCATGGCAGGGGGATTGGAAGTAGAAGAACTCTAAGGTCCCTTCCAACCCAAGCTATTCTATGAATCTATAATAATAAAGACTAATCTTTTACGTGCAAATTGAATATTTTTCCTAGTGGAAATCATTAGGAGAAGGCCAATATGATCAAACAAGGTGGCCTTTTCCCTAATATAACAGATTTATGCAGGAGGTGGAAGGTATATCACAGACATGGTGAACTCTGTAAGTCCTTTGATAGGTTTCTCTTATACGCAGATTCTAGAGAAAGCATGTATCGACCTATATATTAAAAATCTGAGACAAAGAAACTTGCACTATCATTAGTTATCCTGACACAGGGTAACTTATACCACACTGTATTAAAGAGGTTGTAAACACCAGGAAGAACATTACAGCCTAAAACTAGATGTATAACTTGTGCAAAGTGCAGCAGAGCAGTGTTACCTGAAGATCATGATGGGAAAGAGAAGTAATAAGGAAAGTGAGCTCCTGCTCTCAAAGGTTTCAGGAAGCATTTACCACTACACTTTGGAAAAGTATTGTTCTAAGAACTCTGCATGGGCAGGCCAGCCTTTGGTAGGCTGTAAATATTAATTAGTTAGGGCTTAAAATATAGCTGATATAATAAAACAGTAAGGATGGTACTTGCTGCCAAACTATAACACTAGTAATTAATTTTTAAATAATTTTGTAAATGTTTTATCACTGTAAATCATGATTTTTTTAGTAAATACACTCATTTATCTTTTAGTCTTGTCTAACGATAAAATCAATGCTCTAGTGTGATATTTGCCAGGACACAGCATTTCCCTGGGCATGAATATCTGTTTGCTGAAAGAAATCTGGTAGCGTCCCAGGGTATTTACCATGCACTGAGAGATAGAACTTTCCAGTATTTTTAGTTAATTCACCACTGAGCTTCAGGGACCCAGCTGATGAAACAAAGAGTAGCTGGATGAAACAAATTATCATTTCCTTTGAATGGCAGCTTAAGCCTCTGACAAATAACAAGGTAGTGGACACAGAGCTTGGAGTGTCTGGTGTGTCTCTGAAAGGTGAAGAACCTTCTTGTAAGAGTGTCATATTCTGAAAAGCAAACTATTTCATAATCTTAAAATAGCAAACAAGTGTAATTGATTCACACAATTGGAGAGATGACAAGAATTTAAGTTTTTATTTCAGATTTATTTATTTGGAATTTTTCCCTCTCTAGCTGTTTATTTTTGGTTTATAGTTCCTAGCATGTCTAAGCCCCATATTTCTCTCTCTCTCTAGACTAATTTTTGTTTTCACTATCGTACTATAAATATATTATGGCCAGACCTGTGTGAAATGAAGTCATTTTGATTCATAAGGTTTTCATGCAAACATTTTTCCCTGTTTCACTTCAAGGAGTTCATCCCTTGAGTTTGTCTTTGAATTTCAACTTCAAAGAAACCTAAAACCGCAATCTGAAATTCAGTCAAGGCTGCGAAGCTTTGCCTTGTTTCAGGTCAAAAGCTCAGGAAAGTGTTGCATTTCCTGACCAAAGCAAAATCGATTCACTGAAAAAAACCCTTCAGTAACATAGAATTATCTTGTTCCTTTAAGTTCAGCAAAACTCAAACTCATTAAAATCAGCTATGGAGTTACAGTCCCCACTAACATAGGCTTGACTCCAACCTCTTTGAGAAATGCTGTTATACCCACCACACATGGAGAAAACCCCCCCATACTTTACTGTGGAGTATAATATAATTTGTTTGGTAAAATGATCTTAGTTTTAAGTAAAATGGAACTGAACAAGTGCTGTCTGCACTTAAACACTTTCCTGCTCCATAGAATCATGACATCTGCTGTATTTTTCATACAATCTGCAACGCTGTTTAAAATTGCTTTCAGCTATTTTTATACCACATGTCAGTCATTCCAGATTCCCTCCCTCCCCAGCATGTCTTTTGTACTGCTATTGCCACAAACCTCAAAACTCAAAGCAAAAGGCAGCACACCAAGCATGTCCGAGTGTACACACGCACTGCACAAGTAGGAAAGGACAGGAGGGTCAGCACCATCGTAGCAGAGCTGAGGTCCCAGACCTCAAGACAGCATAACCTCTGGCAAGCTTTAACAAATCCCCTCCTTATTTGCAGCTGTATCAAATACTGGAACACGCTGTTATAAATACTGATAGCTATTGCCTGCTCAATAAAGGAAGAGTTAAAGTTGTCTCAACCTATATCTCGACGCTCAAATTTTTGTATTTCACTCATTCTTGTGCCATTAACTTCTATATTCTAGAAAGGCACGAGATTTCACACGTTCTGACAGGACATCTATCAAGTGAATAGCTTTTGGCTCAACCTTCTTTTGTAAGAAAGAAGACTTCTAAGGTACAGCAACATCCAGTAAAAACTAAGATTATGTTCTTTAAACACAAAAATGTAATAAAACTAAAGCTTCCACATCCACGTTAGAAACTTTGCCTGACTTAAAAAAGTGAAAGTTCTTGAACAATGTGTCTTCAAATGACCTGGGCAGAGTATCTAATCCCATACACTTTATCCTTTCCATAGTGAAAGTCAGGAAAATACACTCCAAATCCCCCTTTCGATATTGCAGTCCAGCAATGCCTTTTACTTGCCTTATTGCATTGTTTTATCCATAAAAGGCAGGTGAAAATCCTATTAAATGAAATGTCACATCTCCTTGGATTATTATTTCGTTCCTTTGTAATAAATGGGATTTCAGAAAAGTGATGCCATCCGCTTGTCCTTGCTACTTCCCTTTGGAACTCAAGAAGAAAGCACAACGGAGCACAGACAGACAGTGGCAGGAGGATGAGCCCAAAAAAGTTCCCCGCTGTGCCATCCACCATCCAGGCATCAGGAACTGAGGAGTCTCGAGTCCAGGGCCAGCCACTGGGCTGAGTGCCTGAGCTGAGCTGATGCAGGGATCCACTCTGCATGAATAAGGGTGTTCACTGTTCTGCGGACATGAGACCTGCTCAGCCAGAGATGTGAGCAAGATGAGGCCATGGGTGCCATGGGCATGTGTGTGCTCTGTGACCTGATCAGCCAGTCATGTATATATATATATATATATATATACTCAATGTAGATGGACTCTGTTGGGTGCACGCCTACCAGGAATACTTTTATAGCCTTGCTACTGGTTGGACCTGTGGGAATGCAGGTGCAGCAGTCCAACATAATACATTTTCCTCTTAAAGATGATACTTACTTTAGGAAGATCACTAGAGAAAAGAAACTCAGCTGAGTTTCCATCCCTGCATTTCTGCAGTTAAGCAACTTAGCCTATCACATATGTAGGAATCGTATTTTTTGAGTGGCTGTAATAGATCAGAAAAGCTCTAAAAATATAATACTTTCAGAACAATAAATTAACTTTTATTCTTTTTTTCACTGTATTGAATAACTGTAAATTCTGAGTTTTCTTTCCAAAGATTAGATGCAGCCACACCATCACTATACACATTCTTTCCTGGTAGAAAAAAGGTTGCCATGAAATCTCTCCTCAAAGCATTGGTATCTTAAATATTTCTCTTTAATTAACATTCATTTGCCATTTAGCCCTTTCAGTTTTACCATTTCAGTAGCCAGATCACAGAGAACTTTGCCATCAAATGTGTATATGTACACATACACATAGTTATTATATATTATAGATATATATAAAATACATCATCACTTACATTTACATAATTTTTATCAATAAAATAGGTTTTTGTTGCAATCCAGACCACTGTGAATGGTCAAAATTTTCTCACTGGTTTGGTTTTTTTGGTTAAAAATGAAACAGCTCTGCAATTTTCTTTTTAAAATTTTACACAGCTGTAAGATAAGGTAAATAAAAAATATCATAATTTGTATCTCTATAAATCCTGGCTTCAATTTCAACTTTTCACCTGTTCAAAAGCAATTTTTTTTCTCTCTTTTATTGATATTAGGAGATTTTTGGCAAAAGAAAGAAGCGATGAAAGTAAGGACTAGATACATTTTCTCTATCTTCTAGGTATTTTAGAACACATTTTCAGATGAAAATCTGAGTTTTTAGCATATGAGAGAAGGAAAAGAAGATACATGTCACTGACTCATTATGCATAGTTTGGTACCTATTAAAAGAGCAACTGTACCTTTCTTCCTTCTGTGCTTTTATAATGTAGGGCATGTGGAGCTCATAGAACATGTTCTTATTTGAAAAACCCATAAACACAGTGCAAATAATTAGATTTCAAAATGGTTGATAATCAGTGTATAAACACACTCCGGGATTAGCAACCCGAAAAAGTATCTGTATCAGCAGCCAACAGCTCTCCCCAGTAGCAGATTCGCTGTGTCCATTTGAAACTCTGCCTCGTGTGCAATTGCTGAGGATGTGTTTGCTCAGTACACCCAACTAACACATCTGTAGTGCTCTGATCCCTTGTGTGGTGCACAGGGATACATACATCCTTATGCAGACAAAGTGGAGAATGATTAAACCAACACCTTCTTTCAAAAGAGGTTTGAGGGTCTTTAACAACTGGGCTTTTTATCTCAACCAAAACACGTTAAGTGCCTTCCCTCCTCTATTGACATTTTGAAACTGCAGAACGGCTTACAGTTATGACAAGTGGCGCCACTGTATCCAGTTCCATCACAAGTGCACTTGAAGCTGTCCCACGTCTGGGTGCATTTTCCCCCGTGCTCGCAGTGATTGGGCACACACCTGTCAGGAGGAGATGAAAAGACAGAAGGAAAAATCTAGATGAGCATCAAGATTTACATAAAGCTAAATTTTGAGCTGCACAAGCAGAGTATCATGTCCTTGTCTAGTAACTAATACTTGTTATTTTAGGCAGATTAACAGAATTTATATCTGAACACACAACTGGCATAAAAGATGATTCATCAAGGCTTTGCTGCATCCTTCTTACAAACAGTAAAAAAGCACAGTAAAGGTGGAATAGAGTCACCCATCATAAATCAGGGTTCTATGTTACATATGACTGGTACCGAGCTGTCAAAACAAAAAGAACATCACACGTCACACCTCCTCCTGCTGTGCAGGTGGTGTCACGCCTCGAGGAGTCCAGTCCCACAGCTGACTTAAAGTTAAAAAACAAAATGCCACTGAGTTGCTGTTTGTCTTTCTCTTGTCAGCAATGGGATAAAGGGGAGGGAGGTTGCCTGCTGGCTGGGATGGAATGAAATTAGTAATGCTGCGTTATTAAAACAAACAATAGGCTTCACTATAAAGGCTGTATAAGTGTTTTCTTCTCAGGAATTTGTGGCAAGAATTCTTCACCTTTCTCCCACACAGCTGCTTTTCTTCTCCAGCTACACTCTTACTGGAGAGTCGAAGGAAAGCAAAAGAAAAAGTGGAACAGCAAAAAGTCAAAGTTATAGCAGAACATATATTTATTGGTTGAAATACTATCTCGATGTGATTTCAAAGATTTGACTTTGTCCAGGTTCTTTTTTACCAAATGTAGTAAAAAATGGGAATTAACATGTACTTTAACCTCTGAAACTATTAAATTTCTTTTCTTTGAAAGGGCTTTGAAATACCATTTCAAAGAATTTTTTTTTCTTATTAGCTGTATTGCAATCAGACTCAGTACAGGCTCTGCATTTTTGATCAAGAACTAAAGGAGCTTTTCTTTCATTTTCGTTTGGCCGAATCTACATTTTTTTATCATAACATTAAAAAATCAAACCTAGAGGACGCACTATTAGAAAAACAAAATACTTTCACAAATGCATTAAGAATTAAGTATCCTTATCTTTAGGATAAATCTGAAGTTCCTTGTATTCCTAAGATAGTTAACAATACTTTCATAAACACCATACAAGGAAAGCTTTGTTTTCCTATGTAGAAATCTATTGAAAATGGAAGTGTCTGTGTCATCCCCCTACAAACTTATAGTCTCCTATTTCCTCAAGTTCCAATTAACAGCTGCAAGATAGTATTATATATATTTTATATCTAAAAATATATATATAATATATATAACCAAGAATATAATATGTCACAATATGCATTAGAGATTTTAACATTGTGTACTCACATTTAGAAACTACTTTTTGTTTTATGCATGCCGGTACAAGTACCTCAGAATATACACAGTATAGCTGTCTTATATCCTATATCAGCCTTTATTATTCAAGGCTAGCCATTCTTTTCCAAAGATCAGAAAATACTGGTTTGGTTAAAAATAGCTCTTAAAGAAATGCTCTTCTAAAACAAAACCCAAAACAATTAAAAGTTTTCTTTTCACAGTAAAATTCCGTGAAACTACCTGAGGCAATTATCACAATTCAATAAATTATGTTTTCAACATGGTTTAAATGAATTCATTTAGTTTGTAAGTGTGGCAGGCTAAATGAGCAGATAGAGCTGATTACTCCTATTCAGTTACGTTCTCAACACTGCAGAAGGAAAACAAGGGCATATAATAGCACATTTCTAAACATCCAAACAATTAACAATTTACATGAATCCATAGCTGGTGGGTAAAAGAATAGGGAAAGCAAAGAGGAATGACATTTCAAAAATAATCTCACAAAAGTAAGTTCTATTCAAGGATATAAATAACTTATATCTGACTATGGTTTTGTATTTTTCCCAACCTTTCAGAATAATTTGCTTTTATGTATTTTCTACTTCTTTTACATTGAACACACAATACTAGAAAAGTAATTTTTCAATGATCAAACCACACATTTTCCTATATGAATTTCACCAGCTATTTTTACGAAGTCTCATACATAATGCTAGCAACTAGTTTCATATTTTAGTGCAGTATAGCTTACTTTTATTGCAGCATAACTAGTAAAGATACTGCATTACTGACTGTGTAACCGAGGCAAATGACTTTATCTTCAGAAAAATGAAAAACAGATATTTATCTGTATCATTTAATGGAGTGTATTAAGTCATAAAACCAGATATGTTCAGCAAACTCCTTGATGTTAATTTTATGTTTCCGCTATGATGGTTGGACCAGTGTAGTCTGCATCTGCAAAATTTCTTTTTTACTCATCTGATTTTTCCTGTTCTAAAGATGATGTAGTTAGAAAAAGGGAGTAAACAATATCTTAATATTAGTGTATACTGAAGTTGAAATCAAACTATAGGATCACTTCCCAAAGTTCTCCCTCTTCCCTCACTATTTTATTAGTTTATTTTATCAGATAGAATTATAACATTTATTTTCTATTAAATCCATTTGAAAACTCATCTAACATAATCTGATGCTCATCTGTCCACTCTTTGGACAGACCTTACCTGCTATAACAGAGTTTACAGGAAATGCTAAGTATCCAGAATGTAGATATTACAAAAAAACCTCTTTGAATTCAGTAGATGCATCATGAGGAATATGGTTTATCACTGTAAACTCCATTATTTTTCAAACACTTTTCTTTCCATAGAATGAGAATAATATAAAAATGTCCATATACATCTTCCTAGAGAAATTTGTATATTTAAGCAGATACAATCATATAGTTTATCTACCTTATGTTTATAATTTAGTCTATACTCAAAATACGTACACTCAGAATCAACAATTTGCAGGTCTTTTGTATTAAAAGACTATGTTTTTAGCCAATTAAATTCTTTAGTCTCCTTTATGAATGAGGTTGAATTACATAAGAAGCAATACAAAACAAAATACAACAAAACAAGCCTTCAAAACTTCCCTTCAGAAGCAGGCTTTGAAGCTAGAAATCATCACAAAACAGAACTGAAAGTAAGTTCATCATCACTGAGTTCTATGTCTTCCCATTGTATACACCTACATTTTAAGAACTGCTTCCAACAAAACGTTGCTGCTTCTATTTTGAGAACTTTCTTGTTCTATGGTTCCTTCTGAAAGGCAAGTCCTTTCAAGTGTATATACTTTCTTTTAATTTCCACACAAAATTTATGCATAGAGAGTTTACAGATGCTGGTTTGTTTGTTTGTTTGTTTGTTTTGGTAAGATTGTGTCTCAGACAACTTTTGCTTTCCTTTGAGATTTATATCTGAATACTATGAAGAGAGCAATTGGAACTTCTCTTAGTCTGTGATTTTGTGAGAACAAGTCTCTTGTTGGAAAAGAGATTTTCTATAGCTCTTTCTCATAGCCCTGCTCTCACTTGCAATTGCATTCTCCTGTGTATTCCAGAGGAGGTCTTATCAATGTTTTGTGATTTCAGAGCTGATCAACGTTTTTATATTTCTCTACTTAAATTATTTTGCTTAATAATTTTGCTGACTGCCAAAGAATGACTTTGTTGCCCAAAGTCATCCTGAGAATGCTCAATGCATTAAACACCATCAGTGAATTCCCACCCATCTTCTTTTTGTCACTTCCAACAGATGACTTCCATCTTTATATGGAAATCTTCTCTCACCCTCTACAGTAACTTCCACTGTGTCATCCAAATATTTCTGCTTATTTTTCTAGGCTGAATCTGTATCATTAGCACATTTCATCAAGATATTCCTAATTTTTAGCCAAGGCAGAAGCATTAAATAGAATCATCTCTGGCACTGATCTCTGAGCAACTCACGTCTCTCAGCCAGTCATTAGCCCATCAGTATAAATTGAGAGGCAACTCAATTTGACAGTTCACAACTCGCTTCGCAATTCTTCTCTTAAACCCCGTCTTTCCTGGTTTAGCAAATAACTTCCATCATTACACTATATAAAATGTTTTATTGACATCTGACAAACTAGATCTATTGCACTTCTTCCACCTGAGAAAAAAAAATACTGTGCTTTATCAGAGAAGGAGATCAGTTTAATCCTGAACTATTGACTGTTGATAAACATCTGCTGCATTCTACTCTAGATTGCATTTACTTCCAGAAAGATAATTATTTCCTTATTGTCTTCAAAAGAATAATAAGACTACTAAAGGCAGATTAATAGGTGTCTGGTGATCTGGATCGCTATCTTTCCATTTGTTAAATCACATTACATTAATTCTGTCACATAATAATACAAAGCCATTACCCTTTTTTTATTTGCTTAGGGGGGATTTGTTGTTTGTTTGGTTGGTTGGTTGGTTTTTGTGGTTTTGTGTTTGTTCCACCTGTGGTACAGTCATCCTAAGTGAATCTGACAGACTATTGACCACAAGAAAGAAAAAAAAAAAAAAAGAGGAGAAAATGAAGAAAGAAAAAGAAGATGAAAGAAAAAGAAGTTCAAAGAAAGAGAAAAGGGATCTCATAATGTCACTGTAAGCAGAAGAGTGATATGAAAGACCCATGAAAAAATCCTCACAATTTATTCAGCAGAAATTATTAATGGCTGATTTTTAATTGCACAAAAAGTTGTTGGAAATAGGAAGGTTACGAACTGTTAGAAATTTCCACAGGGAAAGGGTAAAGATGCGATGAGGTTCGTTACTGGTTAAAAAGTATTTTCAGAACACCTCAAAATAACATACATCAGGAATGCCTTAAGTATGTTTGTTTCTTCCTGAAGGTAGGAGAATAGCCTCCAAGGTCTACTCCAGATGCCTTTCTAATCCAGATATTTTCATGTTCCATAAAAATCAAAAAGTATTTCTACAATCTCTTATTTCTCATTATGTGACAAGATGTGTATTTTCCTAGTGTTGTGACTGTGCTATTTAACCTCTGCAAGTCAACAGGATCTTATGTCATGACCTCAGTCTTTTTAGAGAACTATATTCCTTAGGACATGGATATTTCATATATTAACTAGCTTC